CCCAACTCTACCTTTCCTCCTCTACTCTCAACTCCACGACCCCCGATGTCCTGACAGCCTGTCCGACATCGAGTCCTGGACGAGAGACAACTTTCTTCAGCTCAACGTGCAAAAAACCGAGGCCCTCCTGATTGGCTCACGTCAGCGCCTCCGCACCTCAGGCGCTGACACCATCAGCATCCAAGGCTGCACTCTCCACCTCTCAAAGCCAGTCAGGAACCTCGGCGTTTTGTTCGACCCTGAGCTGTCCTTTCTCCCTCACATCCGCACCACAACTGGCACCGCCTTCCATCACCTCCGGAATATCGCCAGACTACGGCACTACCTCACCCCTCACGCTGCTGAAACCCTGGTTCACGCCTTTGTCACCTCAAGGCTGGACTATGGGAACTCTCTCCTCGCCGGCCTTCCCGCCACCTCCCTCCACAAGCTGCAGGTCATTCAGAACTCTGCAGCTCGTGTACTGTCCCGCACCAGGCTTCGGGACCACATCACTCCTACCCTCGCTCGCCTCCACTGGCTCCCCATCCCCAGAGGATTGATTTCAAGATCCTCATCCTCACCTACAAGGCCATTCACGGCCTCGCTCCCTCCTACCTCTCCAACCTACTATCCCCCTACCTACCTGCCCGTACCCTCCGTTCCTCTGGCTCCGGTCTGCTCCACGTCCCCCGCCCCAACCGCCCTACTATCGGTGGTCGGGCCTTCAGCCTCTCAGCCCCGAGGCTCTGGAACTCCATCCCCCAGTGCCTTCGCCGCCTCCTCCCTTTCCTCCTTCAAGGCCAGTCTCAAAACCTTTCTCTTTGACCGTGCCTTCAGCTCCCCTCTCGACTCTCTTCCCCCTCCTCGCTCCCTCCCTTCCCTCCCCTCACCCTGACCATTTCCCCCTCCTCGCTCCCTCCCTTCCCTCCCCTCACCCTGACCATTTCCCCCTCCTTGCTCCCTCCCTTCCCTCCCCTCACCCTGACCATTTCCCCCCTGCTCGGGTCATGACCCAACTGTGCAGCGCCTTGGGACGTCCTCCTGACGTGGAAGGCGCTCTATAAATGGAATCTTGTTGTTGTTGTTGTTGTTGTTGTCTCTCGCTCAGTCTGTCTGTGTCTCTCGCTCAGTCTGTCTGTGTCTCTCGCTCAGTCTGTCTGTGTCTCTCGCTCAGTGTCTGGGTCTCTCGCTCAGTCTGTCTGTGTCTCTCGCTCAGTCTGTCTGTGTCTCTCGCTCAGTGTCTGGGTCTCTCGCTCAGTGTCTGTGTCTCTCGCTCAGTGTCTGTGTCTCTCGCTCAGTGTCTGTGTCTCTCGCTCAGTCTGTCTGTGTCTCTCGCTCAGTCTGTCTGTGTCTCTCGCTCAGTCTGTCTGTGTCTCTCGCTCAGTGTCTGTGTCTCTCACTCAGTGTCTGTGTCTCTCGCTCAGTGTCTGTGTCTCTCGCTCAGTCTGTCTGTGTCTCTCGCTCAGTGTCTGTGTCTCTCACTCAGTGTCTGTGTCTCTCGCTCAGTGTCTGTGTCTCTCGCTCAGTCTGTCTGTGTCTCTCGCTCAGTGTCTGTGTCTCTCGCTCAGTGTCTGTGTCTCTCGCTCAATGTCTGTGTCTCTCGCTCAGTGTCTGTGTCTCTCGCTCAGTCTGTCTGTGTCTCTCGCTCAGTCTGTCTGTGTCTCGCTCAGTCTGTCTGTGTCTCTCGCTCAGTCTGTCTGTGTCTCTCGCTCAGTCTGTCTGTGTCGCTCGCTCAGTCTGTCTGTGTCGCTCGCTCAGTCTGTCTGTGTCTCTCGCTCAGTCTGTCTGTGTCTCTCGCTCAGTCTGTCTGTGTCTCTCGCTCAGTCTGTCTGTGTCTCTCGCTCAGTCTGTCTGCGTCTCTCGCTCAGTCTGTCTGCGTCTCTCGCTCAGTCTGTCTGCGTCTCTCGCTCAGTGTCTGTGTCTCTCGCTCAGTGTCTGTGTCTCTCGCTCAGCGTCGGTGTCTCTTGCTCAGTGTCTGTGTCTCTCGCTCAGTGTCTGTGTCTCTCGCTCAGTCTGTCTGCGTCTCTCGCTCAGTGTCTGTGTCTCTCACTCAGCGTCGGTGTCTCTCGCTCAGTCTGTCTGTGTCTCTCGCTCAGGGTCTGCGTCTCTCGCTCAGGGTCTGCGTCTCTCGCTCAGTCTGTCTGTTTAGAACATGTCTGCAGCTCAAAGTCCACCAGACACTCACCCAACGTGGGTGGTCGAGTGGCCCATTGAGAGGTGTTGAAACGGCCTCGGAATAGGTCTCCCAAGTGCGGTGTGTGGGTGTGGGCGGTGTGGGCGGTGGGGGGGGGGAGCGGCGGTTTGAAAACCGCACACCCGCCCAGTGGCGGTTTTTTTCACGCCCCAAACCCCGTGACCGACCCGCGCGGTTGGGGCGTGAATCCGCCCTCCCCCCTCCAAAAAAAAAAGAGCTGCCGACGTCACCACCCAGCGTGCCCCGCGCCGCGTTGATACGTCACCGGCGGCTGCTTTCACCTCGGAGCGAAAGGCGCCAAAACCGCCAACGGCAGCAGCGCGCGCGAGAGAGACAGAGCGAGAGACAGAGAGACGGGGGAGAGGGCGCGAGAGAGAGAGAGAGAAGCGGCGACACACAGAGGACTCGCTGACCGGGCGCCGTCGCCGGGATCTCGGGCCGAGGAGCCGCGCCGAGCCCCGGGGATCCGGCGCTGGAGGAGCAGGAGCAGGCCCCGCCTGGCCAGTAAGTGAGGGCTGAGGCTGAGCCACAGCGCGGCCTCCCCCACCCCACCACCCCACCCCCACCCCACCCCCGGGGGGGGGGGAGAGAGAGGGACGGGAGGCGCGCGATAGTCGTAGTAATTAATCATAATTAATCATAATAATTAATAATCATCCGATCGTATTTGCCGGGAGGGGCCTCGTCGCGGCTCCGAGGCGTCTCCCAGCGCTTCACGGGACACCGCTGCCAAGTGCGCGGCTGCCGATTGCTCTGAGCGGCCGATACTGGCGGTGAGAGGGGTTGATGTCTCCGAACAGGGAGTTGCGGGCAGTCAGTCAGTTAAGTTAGTTAGTTAGTTAGTTATTTGACTGCAGCTGTTGGTGACCACAGGCGACAACAACGACGACCACAGGTTACATTTGTTACAGCGCCTTTCGTGTCGGGAGGACGTCCCAAGGCGCTGCAATGGGGCACCTCCTCAGTCCTGTAGGTAACCAGATAGCCACACAGTTCTGGCACCAGTATCAGCGCAGATAATAATGATAATAATAATAATAATAATAATAATAATCCTTGCATTTGATATAGCGCTTTTCACGTCGGGAGGACGTCCCAAAGCGCTTCACAGAACACACTGTAAAGGTGAATTGACTGTATATTTGTGGGCGAAAGCAGTGCCAATGTCGCACCGTTGGACAAACCGGAGCTTCTGGACTGATCAAAACCTTCTGACAGGAGGGGCGTACCCGGCGCTCCAGCCTCCCCCCGAGTCTTTCTCTCCGTCTCCCTCCGGCCCCTCTTCTGCTTCTCCTCTTCCTGCCGCTCTCTCTCCAGACCGCCGTCCTGAACCCCGGTCGCTTGCACCCGCATCGTGATGAACGCAATTGATATGCGCCGCTCAGCCAACATCGTGTTTTCCGGTAGCCTCACAACTCAGCTTTTTCTCCCGTCAATTTGGCAGGCAACACGATACTTTACTTCCTCATCTGAGTCCCAGGCAGTGTGCGTTCAAGTGGGATGCTATCTATTTTCATCTTGTTCGAGAATCTTATTTAAATCTCCGATAACACTGCTCCTTGTGTTTTACTTGAGCCTTCAAAACCTCTTGAGTGTAAGGTCTATTGTCAGGAGAGGACAGCAATGATCTGTTTGCTTGAGCAGAATTTGAATAATCTGCTTAATGATATTGTGCTGATCGAGGAAAGGGTTGTTGAGCGATGGCGGAGGATAAAACTGCTTCTGTTCTGCTCAAACAATGTGCCATCAGTTTTGAGAGTGCCCCTTTCCTGATGTCGCCCATGTCATTTTACTTTTCAAGCCAGACCCTCTGGTGCCAAATTACAAAAAGTGTGTGTTCAGAATGTCCGTCACTAGGAAATGGATTAAAATTTCTTAACAAACTCTTGTGACCCTTCGAGTCATCAGAATAACCTGTAGTCAAATTGAAGTCCAAGATGGTGAGACTGTTCAACCATACAGTTTGTATAAGAGCCATAAGCCTAAGAATTATTGGAAGGATTGCTTAAAAACATTTATTCATCCCTACTTTTCTATTCTAATTACAGTGCTGCATTCATATAACCCCATCAATTGGTTTCTATAGTGATTGAACAGTTGATAATTGGGTAAAAAGTATCAGCTAAAATTTGCATATCTATATTGCAGTTTTAATTATTTCTAGCAATTTTGATGGGGCGGGGAAACAATTTAATTTAGTTGCTGACAAACAAATGTAGAAAATAAAACCCTAGTCTAATGCTGCTGATTTTTGGATGGGATGACTTTTATCTAAGGTAATTGTAAACCAATTAAATGATTAATTTATTTAGGGTGGTATAATTATGCTACTTTGCTTTCAATAAAAGTGCACGGTTGAATTGAACCAAGTAGAATTGACTTAGCCAAATTTTCACAACAGAGCACACTCTCATCACCTCCTGGCTAGATTTTTCGTAATTCACTTCTTGCTGCTCTCCCTAACTCCACCATCCAGAAACTTCAACTCGTCTAAAACACCGCCATCTGCATCCTCAACCGCACCAAACCCTCATCCTACCTGCACAACAAGCCAATAATATGAATATCTGGCTTCTTGCCTCTGGTGCTGCTTTCTTAAAAGTGGAGACATTGCCTCCATCTTTCTTCCCCTGCTCTTTAGAAGCTCTGGTGTAATACTGTTGTACGACCTATGTTGTTAGAGACTGCAATACTGCTGTTGGTGGCATCAATGAAAGTGACTTATCATGGGTGCTGGTTCATGGGTGCATGGTTCTTTTAGATAGATACATTTGGCTTTTTCCCCCTTCTACTGGAATAATAATAATAAAACGATCCTTTGGTTTCCTGTCCAAGTGGACATTGCCCATTTTGACAGGATGTTTGATTACAAAGAGCATCAAAACTGATCCATTGTATGTACCTTCCAAATCAATTGGACGAAGTACAAATCTACTAAATGTTTTGTGTCTTAGCTTAGGGTCACCGAGGCTAAATTGTTCATTTGGGATGGCCATGCCTTGAAAATAGCACAAATATGATTGACTTTGTTGGGGGCACACCTGCTATTTTTAGTGAGATACAAATGGTTTGCTTTATAAGGCTTGCGAGTGTGCTATTTTCAATTGAAAGCAAATTGTGATGGAAGATTTATTTTACTTTTTCTCTCCACACTTTAGGTATAACTATGACTGCCAATATGAAGCGGAGATTTTATACAGAGGAGCCCACGGGGAGCATAAAGGTAAATTCAGTGTTCTCCAAGGCTGTGGATACTTTTTGCTGGAGACTTCAGCGTACAGTTTCAAGTGAATTCTAACTGCAATGCAAGTAGAATTCATTTGTGAACTTCTATTTGGTACTGTACTTTGGTGTTTTTCCCTCAACTTTGTATGTAGCTCATGATTCATTTGGAATTTTGCCATTAAGATTAAGTTCAGATTTTACAGTAAATGACTAGTTAATGCTACTCTTTAAAAGTCAACCTAGCATAACGTTTGCAAGGTTTACAAAATATGATGTACTAATCTCAGTGTATTGTACTGCAGGTACTGTTTTATAAGTGATGGGTTAACTGCTGATGCTGCGATTGTTGGCATATGTTCACCTTGAGAGAAATAACTAAACTGTAAAGTTTAATCTTTAATGATGTCTAGAACCTATTGTGTAGCACTTTCCCACGCTTAGTAAGGTGTGCCCTACACCCCAGGAGTCGTAATCTGTAAAGAAATAACTTTACCGTGGGAATTTCTACTGCTACACGTACACAGTATAGTGCAAATTATTTTCCCACGCTGCAGTGTAATGCATGAATGCAATTTACATCAATCCTAATCGTGCCTTTAATCTACCTTTGTTCACTGTTTTATGGTGGAAGTTTAATTAATCATTAAGAAGGATGAATGGATTCCAAGTTTGGTAAATAAAGGGATTTTGCACTGGGGTCAGATGGAATGATCAACCAGTGCTTCAGCCCAGAGCACAATAGTTAGTCCTCTTAAAACTGCTAGTAGTGGTTTATTTTATGGTGGTTAAGTATCCTCTTGCAGGCCATGTAAATTTTGTTTTAAATTACCTTCAGAATTCACAAATGATCAAATGTAGCTGGGATAAATTAATATTTGGTTTCACTGCCATGTTGAAGGCAATTGGAATTTATCTAGCTGATGCCTGGTAATTTGGGTTCATAATTGTTTTGACATTTTTACATTTAAATGCAAGTGACTGGAGAGCATTGCTTTAAGGTAGTTAGTGAGGGATATGGAGATGGAATACTCTGCCATGGTTGACGCAGAATCCATATTCACTTTTGTGTTACTTATGGGTTGTTAATTAAGAGTAATTTCCAGGGGTATAGGGAAAATGCAGCTAAATGGGATTGACTGAATTAGAGCCAGCAGACATACGATTGGCTAAATGGACATCTGTGGTATGAATTTCTATGGTTCTAAGTTGTTCAAATTGAGATTTATTATGAACTAATTCTAGAGAAAGTAGTACAGAATTGTTTCTTTACTCCAGAGTTTCTTCACCAATGTGGCAACCAGCAGCACTCCACCAAGGCGAACGTTACAAGTTATTCAACCAATTGCTACTTCAGACCAGCTTGTTGGGAGAGGAAAAGAGGTACGTGGCAAATTATCTTTCAGTTGGTGTTCAGAATTCAAAGATTTGAAAGCATAAGTAGTGAAAAAAAATGTTCTTGGTAAATCTATAATGGATAAGTTAACTAGGGTATCATAAGGATTCACGTATCACTTGCTTTTCTATACTTTGTTTTTGAGCCTAATACAATAAGGAGTAGGAAATTGAAAGGGTAGGGGAAAGAGCAGAGTATGGCATTTATGTAGTTGAATCCAGTGGCGGAGTTAGCATCAGCATGGCCTCCTATGTTACATCTTTTGTGCATGCTTATTTTGGTTAACTAGTTGGTGAGCTGAAATTTGCTTTCGAGCAGTGCTTTTCTGAAAACAAGTAAATAAAATGTTTGAATCAGTACAGTTTTGTATTTTATAAAAAGGCAATAAGTAGTGTAACGTAAAGCAAAATTAGGCACTGAAACCTGTTTTCAGTGATCTCCCAATCTTAACTACAATTATGAGGAGGGTTTTATGCTACCAAATGATCTTGAATGTGACTTGTGCAAAGTAAACGTGACTTGAAATTTGTGGGGGAGGGATGAGGGAAATGTGTGGCTGAAGTTTCTCACTGGATATGAAGATTTTCAATTGAATGTTGCTTAGTTGTAAAATGGGATGGTTTTCGCCTCACTTTGGAATGTTTAAGAGTAATGCAAATTTTTGCATGATCTATTTTGGTTAACACATTCAAATATGATTTGTGCACTGCATGTATTTAGAGTCTTTGGTTTATACAGTTCCTTCAATGTATATATTTTTTGCATTGCTCATGCCTGCAGTTCTCCAAGCCAACTCCCAAAAGAAAACACTGGAGCAATGAACAACCAAAAAGCCCCAAGAAGTCACGTATAGAAATTACTCAAGAACGGGCAGAGTGTGGTGGTGAAAATGAGAATTTAGAAAGTCAGGGGATGACAAAAGAAGCCCATGAACTTCTTGTTAAACGTTAGTGCTGTCATTCTTAATTAAGTAGTGTTTATTAAATTAATTTTTAATTTACTTTTTGTTTTATTCAAGTGATTTAATAATTCATGCTTTTATACAGCTAACCCAAGTTCCTTGTACTGGAAGGAGTTGGCAGAAGAGCGAAGAAAAGCCCTGTTCCAGGCTCTTCAAGAAAATGAAAGGGTGTGTACTAATTAGACTTGTGGGCAGTCAACCATTTTGTTTAATGCTGAACAGGTATCAAAATATGGACTGTTAGAAATGTGTCCTTTTTTTACTTTCAGCTGCATAAAGAAATCGAACTTAAAGATGAAGAAATTTTACAGTTAAAGGAACAGAACCATGAACTAATAGAGTTGGCCGACCATGTGAAATACATGGCTGATCTAATTGAGGTAAGAAAACTCTCCTGTATGTTGCATGGAGATGTGTTGGGCAGTTAGTGTTCATTTTATAATAGGAATGGTCAGTTATTCCATATTGTAAAGTCCCAGCATTCTGTCTGGAAAGGAACACGGTTGTGTCAAATGACTTGATCTGCACATATTCCTCAGAATATTGGCTTGCATCACTTCTGTTTTTTTTTACCATTACGCATGTCCTTGTCTTGAATTGTCTTGGTACCGTTTGTGTGTAGAAGTCCCTTTTTTGTATGCTTATAAATTTGTTTTATGGCATAAGTACAGGTCAATGATTCATTATCTAAAGGGCATAAATTTTAAGATTATTGCCCCCCCAAAAATTAAACATACAGAGATCTTATTAGGACATGAAATGCTCTATCAAAAACAACAGTTGAAGGAGAATCCATAATGATTAAAATGACAAGTTTTTGAAAGAAAAATAAAGAATGATAAGGAAGTGAGTCATATGGATAGTTCTTTCAGAGACCTGGCACAGGCATTGTGGGCTGAATGACCTCTTCTGGTGTTGTGAAAAGGTTTCACATACCCAGCTAACCACATACTATTCAACTGAAGTGAATTCTCACAATGTATTTAGGCTTCAGTTTACTTGTATAATACCTCTTGACTTTAGTGCTTTCTTTGTAAGTTGCCATGGATGGAATCTCTTTCCTGGACAGGACTTCTTTTTTTTTTAGCTTTCACTATCATTAGAAGAATAAATGAGAGGATGAGTCATCAGTTATTTACAAGATGACTGATTTCTTTGTCTGCTCACTAAGAGGTTGATGTTGGATGAGATTTACAGCCAGCTCTTCCATCTTTGTGGCTAACCATTTGAAGTGCTTAAGTATGAATAAGGTCAGGATTAGAATTTGAACTTGGTCACCAAAGAGAACAAGTACTGTATTATTGTTTCTGACATAGTTTTCAAAGTACTGTAAATAGAAAATTCCTTATTCCTGCTTTGAATATTTAGTTTTTTTAAAATAAATCAAATTACCAGCTGAGTGCTTTAAATTGGGGACCTTTCATAAAAATAGGCAATAACTAACAGTTGGATGAGTAAGATGTTAGTGCATTTTCACAACCAGTATTACATAAGCTGCTATTTTCAGCAATGGAGAATAACTTTGTATACAATTTCTCCCCTAACCAAATTATGTCAAGTGCCCCACTGAATCTTGAAGTTGGCGATGTGTTAACCTTGATCTGTATTCATTAACCTTGTTGTGCATTCCTTTCAAGCAAAATTAGTTTTAACTGTATATACTGTACTTAACCTTGTTTTTTAATTTCAAACAGAGACTATCTGGACAGAGCGCTGATGAATTCAACCCAGAGTCAGATGAACGAGACGCCAATGAACCTGAGGATGTTGCACAGCCCGCTGACACTGAATCTCACCACGAGTCCCTGGATGAGAGTTCAGAGATTCCATCTTCGGACAATGAGGATGATTAAAACTTTTCATATGCCAGACAAAAACCTGCCAACACCAAAGGGGAGGGAGACTTTTTATCCCCTACTTAGTTTTTTGAAAAGCTGCTATGAAGAATGACTGACTGCTGGTTGTATGAACTTCATTGCAGTATCTCTGTATTACAATGGTCTTGTGGAATTTTATTTCCAAGCCTTGAGTTAGTAGTTGTGAGTATAAAATATTCTTCATTTTGATTAAATCTCTTAATGGGTATCGCATAATACTCAATGGAAGGAGTTACCAAATCAATGTGCTAGTCGGACCATTTTTTATTCGGTCACTTGGCAGTGAGCACATTCCAGGAAAAGCCTATCTGTCTGTATATTTAAAGTTTTATGATTTTAGTTAACATTTCAGTATGATTTTGTGTAATAAATTACACGTTTTTGTAAGATTTTTAACTTTGTGTTATTAAATGGTATAAGAATGCAGTACATTTTTCACTGTTGCAGTGTGGCGGTGTGTTGACCGCCATATTGCCCGTCTCCAAAAGCTGCCGAAACCGTTGTCCCACACCTTCATCACCTCTCGGGTGGACTACTCAGAAACGCCCTCCTCACTGGTCTCCCCTCCCCCCTATTCATAAAATTCAACTTATCCAAAACTACCTTGCCCACATTCTCACCCGCACTAAACATCGCACACTGATTACCCCAGTCCTTGCCAAACTCCATTGGCTCCCTGTCACAGAGAGGATTGACTTCAAGATCCTCACTCCAGTGTTTAAATCCCTCCATGCCTTGGCATCTCCCCAATCTCTCTTAAGCTCCTCTCTCCTCATAGCAGTACCTGCTGCCTCCACTCTACTGTCTCCGGCCTCCTCCTTGTACCTCAAACCCTCTGCTCCACCGTTGGCGGCCGTGCCTTCAGCCACTATGCCCCAAAGCTATGGAACTCCTTCCCTCAATCCCTTTGCCTTGCCCCTTCCCCATTTTCAGGTTGTGTCTGAAGACCTTCCTCTGACCGTGTGTGGTTACCTTCCCCCTCCCTGTAGCTTGGCATTGGGCTCCACCATTGTTAGGTGCTCTGGGACGCCGCCTGCTGTGGAGGGCGCTATATAAATGCATATTGTTGTTTCTAATGCTTGATAAGCCTACGCTTTGGCTTGCACGGTTAACCGAAGCTGAGTGGGGGAATAAATCCCTGCCCCTTCAACTCTTTCCAACAATAATAATATTAATCCTTGCATTTGATATAGCGCTTTTCACGTCGGGAGGACGTCCCAAAGCGCTTCACAGAACACTCTGTAAAGTGAATTGACTGTATATTTGTGAGCAAACGCGGCAGCCAATTGCGCACAGCAATGTCCCACAAACAGTCGTGGATTGAAAATGACCAATTTATTATTGTTTTTGGTTTTGGAGGGATTATTATTAGGCTCTGTGTGGAGTAAGGAAACTTGCCCAAGGTTTCGCCCTCTGCCTGGAATTGAACTCAGGTCTCTCGCTTGCAAAGCGAGTGCTCTAACCACTGAGCTACAGGACTACTCGACCACTGAGCAACAAGCCATGATGGTTGATCTGTCATCAGTATTGCCTTGGAGTACTGTGGGCCTGCTTTCCGGAAACGAACTACAGAGAATGCTGCAGAGGACTGACTATTCTGACATTCTGTGGTGCTATATTAAATGCAAGGGATTTATATATACACGTTGTCAATGCTTGCATTGATCTTGTTGCTGGAGTACTCTCTGTGCCCAGGTATTCCCTTCCCACAGCTTCCTGCTCCTTCAGAAGGCTTTAAACAATGGACTCCCATCTTGATGTAGAATCCTAGTTTACAGTTTCATGACATTCCTGAATACAATGCGCATTTGAAGTTCAGGGCGATGTGCCAAGATCAAACAGATTTTTAGGACATTGTGCAGTGAAGCAGAATTCTTCACTTGACTGGCAGCTTCGGATAGAGAGGTCACAGTTTTCTTTCAAACTGTATTTCACGGTGAGATCTAAAACTCCCATCTTTTGATGAGAATTTTGCGCTTTATTAAATCTTTAAGAAGTGTTTTAATTTATTTTCCTAGCTTGTGGTATTTGTTTCGGCCACAAAATATACAGTCAATTCACTTTATAGTATATTCTGTGCAGTTCTTTGAGATTTCTTGAAGGCATGATAAGGTGCTATATCAAATGCAGGTATTATTATTGTGTTCATGTGTATTTATTCTTGTTTTGGTGAGCAGGGTTGTTTTTCAACTCCAAACTGGCCTTTAAAGTTGAATGTGAACAAGACTGAGGCTCTGGCAGCATCAACCCATGATTTCACACTACCAGTCAGGAACCTAAGTGTCTTGTTTGACCTCAACTGTCTTCTTCCCCCACATTCAAGCCATGACCCACTCTGCCTTCCCTCACCTCCGTAATATCGCCCGACTCTGCCACCACCTCACCCCTCAGGCCACTGAAACTCTTGTTCATGCCTTTATTAACTCGAAGCTCGACTATGCAAATGCGCTGCTTGTCGGCCTTCCCAACTCTTCCCTCCACAGGCTGCAGATAATCCAGAATTCCACAACCTGTGTCCTCTCCTGGTCCTCGCTTACAAAGCTCTCAATGATGGCCTCACCCCACCCTACCTCTGTGATCTCCTAATCCCCTACCAACCCGCCCGCTCCCTCTGCTCAGCCGGCTCTGGCCTGCTCCACCATTGGCCCCCCCAATTATGCACCCCCACCCTGATTGCGCACACCCCCCACCTCCTAATTGCACGCCCCCCCCCCCACCCTCCCCGATATCGCGCCCCGGCCTCGCATCCCAGATAGCACTTACCTCCCCTGATAGCGCGTCCCCCAGTACACACACCCCTGCCCCTCCGATAGCGCATCCCCCCGACGGCTCCCCCCAATTCTATTGCAACTCTCTGATCTCCTTTTACACTACTCTACTGAGCTGCATGACCCTGGTGTTCCTCTGCCACCACTGGTGGCCAAGCCTTCAGTCCCTATGTCCCAAACCTCTGGAACTTTCTCTACCATTCTCTCACCCCCTCTCTTTTAGTCTTTATGTCCAGCCGAATCTTACCGTTTTGAACATGCTTGTGGCCACCTCCCTCCTCTCCAGTGTCTTTCAAACCTACTCCAAAACTTTACCCTATATCAGGGGTGGGCAAAAGACGGCCTGCGGGCCATATCTGGCCCATCATTGTGTCTAGCGATAGAAAAAATTATAGTTCATTCAGTTCCAGAAGGTTGCACAAATTTTGCATTTGAATCTGACCAGGAACATCAGCCAATCACACTGCATAGTTGTACACACAGTAAGTGCTGAATCAGGCTGATGTCAGAAATGTACGGCAAATTTTCAAACACGCTCGCGCGGCAATACTTTTTCACTGAAGAGAACGTTAATTCAAAATGAGTTTATCAAAGAAGCGGAAAGTGGATGCTGAAGGCCAAATATTCAACAAAGAATGAACTTCTAAATTTTTTTTTACCAGCGTGGATGGAAAATGAAACAAATAAAATAAAGAAAATAAAAACGGTGTGCAGTTATAATAATAATCCTTGCATTTGATCTAGCGCTTTTCACATCTTCTAGACGTCTCAACGCACTTCACATAATATATTGTAAAGTGAATTGATTGTATATTTTGTGGGTGAAACACAGCAGCCAATTGCACGCAGCAGTGTCCCACAAACAGTCATGGATTGAAGTGACCAAATTCTTATTTTTTTTTGTTGAGGTATTATTATCAGGCATGTGGAGTAAGGAAACTTGCCCAAGGTTTTGCCCTGCAGGGAATTGAACCCAGGTCACTCACTGTTTTCACTGGCACTCGATGAGAGGTGTGATGTCAAAGACACAGCCCAGTTGTTAATTTTTATTCAAGGTATCACCAAGTATTTTAAGCTCACAGAAGAATTGGCATTAATGCAGTCAATACGACAACTGGAGAAGCCTTTTTGAAGGCAATAAAATAAGTGTATCTTAAAATTAGGAGTGACCACCGATGGAAGCCTGAATCTGACAGGCAAAAACGTTGGGTTGCTGAAAAGAATTGAAGAACAAATCCAGAACAGAATATTGTTTTTCTACACTATTATCCACCAAGAGGTCCTCTGTAAGAGTTCTAAAACCAAGCAATGTCGTGGACACAGTTACGAAAGTGGTCAACTACATTTGAGCAAGAGGATTAAACCACAGGTAATTTGTAACTGAGCTTGAGGAATCGGAATCCGAGCACACGGAAGTCCTGTATCACACGAATGTAAGACGGCTTAGTTTAGGAAAGATCTTGAAAAGAGTGTGGGAACTGAGAACAGAGATTGATTTATTTTTGGACATGAAACAAAAAGATTCGGATTTCCCACAGCTGAATGATGCGAATTGGCTCTCTGATTTCACATTTGCCATTGATATCATGGGCCACATGAATGAACTGAATTCAAAACTGCGACGGAAGGGGGCCTTTGTGCACGATTTGTATTGCAGCGTCAACTCATTTATGACAATTATTTATTTTATCGCGTCAGATAGGAAACAGGCTGTGTATCCACTTTCCAACTTTGCAGCAGATTACTGTTTGCGATCAAAGCCTTACAAAGTATACTCAGTCACTACTTGACTTACATGCCGAATTTTCTCGCCCATTCCAGGATTTCAATTTGATCGAAAATGACCTGTCTTTGGTCTCTTCACCTTTGTCATTTGATGTTGACAAAGTCCCATTTGACCTCCAACTCGAGCTTATTGACCTGCAATGTGATCCATTGCTTGCGGAACAAATCAAATCAGTGCAGCTTCCCAGTTTTTATGCCTCTCTTAATGAATATACCTTTCCGAAAATAAAGGTTCATGCCCAGAAGATGCTCGTGCTTTTTGGATCAACATACATATGCGAGGAGACATTTTCTGATGAAATTCAATAAATCAAAACATAGATCTGTGATGACTGATGATCATTTTGCAGCAGTACTCCGCATTGCAACAACGGAGACGATGCCTGACTTCAATTGTCTGGTTAACTCAGATCACCCGCTTTCATTCTTCCCATTGAGTGAGCTTCTCACAGTCTCATCAATATGTGAATAAATATCAATAAATGTCTGCTCAATTAGTTGTTTTTATTTAACCTAACTCTAATCAATGTCAATTTTATAGACTTTATTTTATGCATGTGCAAGTGTAAGACTTGATTTTGAGCTATTATTAAGCATTTGCATCTATATTAAGTGTGGCCGGTGAAGCTTACCAAAACTCGTGAAATGGCCCACCAGCCAAAATAACTGCCCACCCCAGCCCTATATGAAGCGCACTATATCAATGGAAATTGTTGGTATTATTCATTAAAAGGGATTATCTGGGTCTTCAATGATACCGGATGAATTTGTTATAGCTAAGAAGGCAACAGTATGTTAGAAAAGACCCTGTTCACTTGTGCCTACTCCAATAGTACATGTTTGGCCGTTTTCCTATTTGATGGTACACTGTATACAAT